ATAGACACTTCACCAAGCCTCTCTTATACTGTAATGGACAGAAGCTGTGAAAATTAAGGTATTGCCCTTTCCAAGTGGGCTTTCTGTAGATAGACCGTCTTAATGAGCCATCGTCTCTTCGACTCAGAAGTATGTCTAAAAATGAGAGCTGGTTGCGACTTTCTTCCTTGCATGTAAGACTAATATGATTCTGTACAGAGTTAAGTCTGTCTAATAGACGACTCGCATCTTCATGATCGTCGCATATCAAAATGATATCGTCTGCATATCTCTTATAGAAAGGCAATTTGGAAATTAAATCAGAGGATAAGTTTTCAACATAAGACATGTAAACGTCCGCTAATAAAGATCCTAATGAACTCCCCATAGCAACGCCATCCACTTGTCGAAAATGTTCACCTTCAAACGTGAAATGGACGTTGTCAGTACATAATAGTAATAAATCTTTCAAATAAGTTAAAGGATTTGATGCATGCTACATTCATTCATATAGACCTGCATTGTTGGGAGATGGCAGTGTATTTATTTATTTTTTTAAATTTTATTTTATTTTGATTTACAGCTTGATTCCACACCGTATTTTCAGTACAAGTATGGAACTTTCAGCATGGATATCGGTAGCCCAAATTCAGGCCGACCATAGATATCGGGTGTGCGCCGGCAGGGGATCGAACCCCGGACCATGTGCATGGTCGGCGAGAGTCCTAACAACTGTGCTACCACTCCTATGTATAATAATTTACTTGAATAGTCGTGAGGGTGGTATCGGTCAAATTCGTCTAGTTCCTTTTATGCATGTTGACGTGAACATAGACTGAATTATATATATATATATATATATATATATATATATATATAGTTGCGCTACAGGATGCAGCTTAATGCTATCCCGGTCTTTCAAAAGGCCCGAATAACATTTTTGATCACCGATTAAATTTACACTAAACTTATCCCACTTTAACTGATTGAGAAATAATTCAATGCATATTAGAATATTATGTTGGGGATAATACGTAAATCAGCTTCCCATAAGTCGAAAGAACATGAAATTTTCTAAACTATCTAGTGCTAAATACATCAGATATGAGAGATATTTGTACTGGTTGGAGGATTTCATCATGAGCTGACATCAGTTAGAGAACCACTGGAAAACCAACTGACAGCACTGGACAGCTGTTTCGTCCTGGTTCTGGACTGTTCAATAGTATGCAGCCGCCGGGGTTCGGACCCAGGACCTTCTGGTTACAAGGCGAGCAAGCTCGTAGACCATTAAACCAGCTGGTTCCCCAACCGCTCACTAACTGATGTCACCTCATGATGAAATCCTCCAACCAATCAAACAAAATTTCCTACATAACCAATACTTGGAGATAATTATATTACAGCCAACCATTAATGGTTTTAGGTATGTTTAGCCTTCAAAATGTGAAGCTAGGCCACTTATCGTTGCTGTAGTTCGAACGATATTCATATATATATGAATTTGAGCATCATACTCTACATAAAAATCGCTTATATGACTGTGAACGCTTTACAACAGTATCGGTAGACGTACTTAAGGTATTTTGGATGCTTGAGATAATGAAAAAATCCGTTGGATTTGATGCATGTTACATTCGGTCATATAGACCTGCATTGTTGGGGGATTGCAGTGTATTTTACTCCTATGTATAATAATTTACTTGAATAGTCGTGAAAGTGGTATCGGTCAAATTCGTCTAGTTCCTTCTATGCATGTTGACGTGAACATAGACTGAATTATATATATAGTTGCGCTACAGGATGCAGCTTAATGCTGTCCCGGTCTTTCAAAAGGCCCGGATAAATAAATGTAAGTATACCCACCCAACGGGTATTTCTTTTCTTAAATAGACTGGTTGGTCCTGCCAGTTGTCATTTAACTTGTCTCAGGGATTATGTCGTCCATGTCGAAGTTGATTTCTTTAAATGGTGAAGTCACGGATAGCTTATTGATTCAGCTATGGTTCCTTAGATCAAAAACGCTAATTTAATATTTTTGGAGCTAACACACGCTATCATGGTGTGATTGTAAAGGGAAGGGTTGTATTTAATAGGAACTAAAACAAACCTGAAACAGTTTTGGCTGCCTGTGTTGAATTTTGCCATAGCTCTGTATAATTTAACTGATCACAGTGAGTTTTGTGTGGGTTTCAAATTTTTCAAGAGTTTTTTCCCTATAAATCTGTTGGTACATGATCACCCTATGATGATAACAATGGCTAATAAATTCATCCTACCCATAATTATATGAAGAAATTCGAATGAAGTCATCTGTTTCACTCATCTGAGAAGCATCGTTTCAAACACATAAAGTTAGTGCAGATAAGTATGTTTAATTGATGGGTTTCAACATAGAACTTAACATAGAAGTAAACCAGTTCTAGTTGCCACACCCTATGATCTACACAAAGGCAGAAAAAAGGGATATAGTGGAAGTATAATAAGCAGAAGTGAAAGGGAGAAAGAGCAGTAACGTGGACTGATCTCAGGGTTTAATGGATATGGGATACCATGAAGAATGAATGAATCTTCTCCATTGACAACGATTTAAGCCATATCACCAGTCGTCTCCAACCATTGGGTTTTACAATCCCGAGGACTCCAAATAAGCAGTCTAACCTCCTTGTCAGAGATTTCATGGGCTCATGACAGTTTTGGTTTGACCATCCCTAACCCTTTTCCGACCTGCTCCTTTGTTGGCTAACATTGCCTGTGGACGAAGGCGATGGCTCGGAATGCAAAAAATGCCTTCTAACCATCTCAGTCAATGTAGCTTCACAACCCCATCAATCGAATTACACTTCTTACCTAATGCTGTACGCCTGATATCAGTGTTACTCTCCATAATATCCCACTTAACACGAGAGACAGAACACAAACATCTGTGATCAAAGACTAGTAACCTCCTCATATCTACCACTTTCAATGGCTGTCTGACAGCCATAAAGGAGGATAGAGTGAACTGATGCGTAGTACACATGTTCTTTGGTTGACTGCCAGATATCACAACTACACCACAGACGACGTAAATTGACAAATGCCACACGAACCTTTTGTATCCCTACAACCAATCCATTAAATCTGATGCAGCCTCTCAAAATAAGTGGAATGCTCAACACACACTATCACTTCACACCTTATCCCTAAGCTTGAAGTCAGTGTATTCCAGTCCACAGTACTTAGCACATTGAACATGTCAAGTCACTTCTTTTATATGTTTTGAAGAACTGGCGTATATCAACAAACCAGCATTTCAAACAGCCTGTCTCATACTTCTTACCAATATCTACTTTTGTTCAATACTGAATATCAGACGAAAGGAAAGTATGGAAAACAAGGGACTCTGACAGCGAAGTAATCAATATCCTGTTGCTTAACAAATATGCACAAAGGGATAACATTGGTTTAGGCGTACACTACAGAGAAACCGCACGTTAGGTCACCTAGTGGAAACCTAATGGGAACTGACGAGTAAGACATCCAAAGGTGACACAGAAGAGTACGTGTGGAGAGGTGACGGAAGCTTGTAGACTGAAAGCATTTCGAAGTGATGGTGTGGTGAGAGATGGTTGCTAGCCAAATTACTTGACAGTAATTGAGGTCAATGTTAGTCATGTAAAAAACAAGGTCAAGATGGACAGGCGGATACAGTTAACATATAGATGAACTGACACAGCCACAAGAGATGCAAGGTTAACTTTGTGTGGGGAACTACCCATCAACAGACTGTATTTTCTACTAACATTAACCTGCAATAATGTACATCAAAATCTATAAATATGTGTTGATTTTCCGTAATAAAGGTTCTGTTGCCTGACTCTTGCCTTCTGTCGTTACAATGGTAGACAGCCAAATGGGATGGAGATCTACTGCCGCAAGCTTATATTCCACTCGGAAGGAACTCAAGGAACGAATATTATCAATTTCTTTTTTTTCATTCCTTCACGTTCCCAGTGGAACAAAGGGCTTCAAGCTAGAAGCTTGACGTTTCGGTAGCAGTGGTGTTTATTTTTACAGGATCGGGGTGGCAGTCTCATGCCCAACCTTCCTTCTTCACCAGTCTTATTACTGGCTTAGTGAGGTGAAGAAGTGCGTTGGTCGGGGTTTCGGATCCCGAACGACATACGTGGTTGGAGAGCATTCTACCTCTGTGCCACCGATGCGCAATGGTGCCATCCTTCATATATATACATATTGATTTCTAAAATTATCAAAATCCTCAATATCTCGCATTCATTGTTTATATATATATATCTATTTATTTATTTATTCATTTATTTGTTTATCTTATCAGTTAACTGTACATCAAATTAATTTTTTTTGTGAAAAAAAAAACGAAACAATATTTAGAAGGAGAAAAAAAAAGAGAAAGAGTGAATATATAAATAAACAAGAGAAGGATTTATTCTTTCAAAACAGACTTTGCACCGATGATTATAATCAATCACATTGACACACACCAGCATGCAAACACACATACATACACATGCACAAACCAACGAAGGAGTTAACTAACCAACCAACCAACCAACCCATCCACCAAAAATAATTTGAAACCTGCAAAAATAAATGATGCAGAGTCGTCTCCGTCGTCGTTAAAAACGACATTGTTAGTCTATCATGATTGATACGAGTTATATCTATATATATGAGGAGGAGGCATTTCATTCCAATTCTCTAGGTGTGCATGTGTGTATGTGTGTGTTGTGAGTGTAGATGATGATTAAACATTGAAGATAGTGGAAGGAGGTAAAAGTTGGAATTTACCTACATGGTTTATGCATATAGAAACCATTAGAATAGAGGAAAAAAGGACAGGTAGATATATATATATATATATTGCTGTATACACCTGTATATACACTTATCCATATAGGTTAAACATGAAATAATACAGTTGAAAACTACTTCTCTTAGTATACATAGTACATACAAGTACACATTTTAGCTAAATTATTAAAATGAACTCTGATTTTTCCCTAGATATCTTGGTCATATTGTAGTACATTTGTTGGCAATTTGCTTGTTGTATAAACTGGTGATGTATGCTGTTTAGGATAAACAAGATTCTCGTGTGTTGTTGTACTTAATACTGATAATAAGTTATTATTATTATTAGTATTAGTATTACTGCTACTACTAGTGTTAGCCTTACCAGGGTAATGACGTAAATTATGTTCGAAATGATGTTGATACTGTTGAGAATGATGGTTTTGAGGATGAGGATGGGGATGAGGATGAGGATGATGGTGATGATACTGGATTGGAGATGGATGTGAATAAGGCGGTTGATAAATATGCTGATGATATTCATTAGCGTGGAGCGGTTGTCTCTGTAGATGTGGAATATACTGATGTTGATGATGGTGAGGATGAGGATGATGTGATACGACTAATTCATTCAATCCATTGGATTTTATTGGTGTCATTGCTGTTGTAATAGTTGTAGTAGAATTCAAGTGACTGCGTAAGTCCTTGTTATCTGCTGTTCTGTTGTTATAGTAATTTGTAGAATAATTTAAGCCATGTTCATCTCTGCCTTGATTTATATCATTTAGATTATCGAATGAATTCAGTGTACACGAGCTTCGATTAGATTCATTGGCCTTATTTAAAATATTCTTTGGTGAATATGCAATGGAATCATATGGAATTAGGGTTGATGATAATGTTGCTGGCAATAGCGTTGGTGAAGTTACTGCTGACCTTAGAATTTCTACATCTGATGAACGTTTATACGGAGCAGTAACATATGTAGCTATTTTCGATGGACTTGTCCGTTTCCATTGTGGGGAAATAGGCGAAATATCCTCGAAAGATTCATTCTGTAGATTATTCTGACTATATTTAATCCCATTCGAGGAGGAAAATTCACTCGGGGTTGTAGCGGTATTTGTATGCAGCATTTTCAGTGTGTTGAAATTCATAGAATTCTTTGTATTCATACTACTAGCTGAATTCATAGTTAAACTATTTGGAAACCATGTTTCTTCTGAATTTAATGTGTACGGGCTGTTAGTGACACTAAGACATTTTGGTTTTAAGATAACCATTTTGCCTTGATATGTATGTGATCTGGATGTGGTACGTGGTGGAATCGGAGGCGGTGCATTATTATTATTACTATTATTATTGTTAGGCATGATTTTATCACATTCTGTAATTTCGTTAACAGAGGATATTCGACGATGTAATTTTTCAGAACTTACTTTCGGTTTATTAATAATTTTATTCAATCGTTTCAAAGATGAATCCAACACAGTTGGAGAAGTAGTCGAGGATAAGGGAATAGAACTTTTAGTCATTTTTTCAGATAGGCCAAGCTTGCCGTCAAATGTTGGCAAAGCCGATGACAAAAAAGAAGCACTATTGTTAGTATTATTATTTTTGCTATTATTTGCAACTCTTGACGTGTTATAGTTATTGTTAATTGAAATCGGTGATGCTGGAGAGGAATGCGAGTGAAGTGAACGAGTAACACTTAGTCTAGAATTCTTCAAACTGCTCGGTGTTGTGCTAATCGGAGATTTTATAGAATTGTTGGGTGTATTTTTTAATCGTCGGATCTCTGGTGACGTTAGTGTACTAGATGCTGTAGACTTATTGACGCTTATTGGCTTTGTTGGTAAAGGTGAATATGTATGATTAGGCGATTTAATACTTGACTGTTCATTCGTTGAACTCTTATTCACTGTGTTCCCCCCTTTAGTATCAGTTGAACTAGAAGATTTTGTTGATGACAGTTTTAAACCTGTGCTATTTTGATGAATATCAACTTGCGGCAGTTTGATTTTAGTATTCTGTTGTAATGAAGATGTTGTAGAAGATGATGATCCACAAGAGGACGAGGAACACGAAGATGATGACAGTGTTTTACTGCTTGGAATTTGTTGTGGCTTATTAAGCGTTTTAATTGAACTATTATTTGTAGTTTTGTTCAGTTTGTCTACAGTGTCATTATGATATACACTTTTGATACCGGACTGTTCAATTTGTTCTGTTTCTTTCAAGTAAATAGGAGATACTGGTATTTGAAAATTTTCCTTTGTACTTTGTATTTGTTTGTTTGGATTGTTATCGCCTAGCGAAATCATCTGGGTTTGTTTCACTGTTAGAATTGGATGATTGTTAATAGTTGTAGTGGTATTGTTGACGCTATTACTAATAGTGTTACTATTGCTAGCCGTTGTAGAAGTCAGTACTGCACTCTCTGCTTTACTGCCCAGTGATTTGATTTCTTCTAAACTTTTACCAGTAACAGAGTTTTCAGACTTCTAAAAAAGAAGTTAAAAAAAATACATTTGAGCTTGTAGTATACATAGATCTCATTAAAAAAGCATCCATATTACTTACCTCGGAAGAAAAGATGGAAGCGTCAGCAAACCTCTTTTATGCTTAAATTCTTCTGCATTAATCTGTGCTGCCCCTTAAACTGTCTTTTGCTACCGAGAGTGGGCAGACTTCTATCTTCCTGTCAAAGTGCTCTTATGTGGCCGCAGGTTCATAGCCTCTGCCAGGTAAGTATTACTATTCACTGCCTTCATGCAGTTGGGGTGATCCTCATAAAATTGAAACAATGAATGCGAAAGTCTAGCACTTATAACCAGATTGGTAGATATGCAGGTCTACTTAAGGGGTGTGGAGAACACCTATAGTGTATACAGGCTCCAGAATCCCAGCGGACAGAATTTCCCATGAACCTGTTTTGGTCACTAGCAACAATGGGAATGCGGCTTCTGAAGCTGCTCCCATGCCTTGTAGGTTGGACGTAAGGTCAAAGGCTCGGAGGGTGCGGGTGGGAATGCTCTCTTGCGAAAACCCCCTGCTTCGGTCACGGCATCTAAGCAGTATTCCAGCAGTATCACAAACTGTGAGATGTCGTGTGGCCCATCTCTTGGTCCCATCATATGCGAAGTTTATGTTTTAACACTAACTTATTGCACCCTAAGACAGAAATTTTGGCTAGATCCTTCTCATAAAGTTTGCCAACAAAACCCAGGGTGAATGAGAAGCAATATTACCACAAAAGCACGTGTGAATGTAATTAGTTAAGAAGTGATGCGTCATCACTTGTAAGCGAAAAGTACATTCCTCTAGAGTTTCCATCTCTGAAAATAGGTGATTGACAAAGAGTGAAGGTCAACTAGGTGGGCGATGAGAATAAGAAACGCTACTGGATTCCGTTACAAAGTCTGAATAGGCAGCTGGCTTGTCACGAAACCTGAAGGCCTTGGAATTCGATTCCCACCGGTGTCATAGGTGCGTATCTTAGGGGTATTGCAAATTAAGACGAAACAGCTGCCCACTACTGCCTATCTTTCAATGGTTCTCTAACTCATATCAATTCATTATATGGCTTGGAAACATAAGAGGTACTGGTAAGATATTTCATCCCACCTTGAGACTCTTCATTGACGTATACCTGTGAACAAGACAGTGAATTCTCTAAGTAGTCGTCACGTGAGTGTGAGTCACATTCCAAAAACCTATGACTTCCAAATTCCATCACTCTGTTTTATAGCGCTGTTGTCAATTATTGTCACAGATAAATGACTGTTCTGTGAACCAGCTATGTGAATCCTACAGGTCAAGATGTCTTACTGGATGAGTAAAGTGAATGAAGAACTATCACCTCTCTAGTGATAATCTGTTCGCGATAAGGCTATCCTTCTTTGTATTAGTTATTAGTTGGTGTACTTTTAGCAAAGGAATCTCGCTAATCTATTTATTGAAATGATGAGTGTATGACGTTGTGTGGCTTCGTCATGACCTTGTTGCATCTTTTTGGATATAGTATATATTCATATAGTGAGGGTTGTGAAGGTACTATACTAACTGATCAGCATACACCCATATGTTATCTCTTTATATGCATATCTACATTATATTATTATTATTATTACTGTTCCCTTGGGTTCCTCGTGGAACATAAGGCTTCAACTACACGTCTCCACTTGCTTCTGTCTTCTGCCGTTCTTTTCACCTACATCCATATTAGTCCATACTGTTCCAACTCTTCTTCACACGATCTCCTCCATGTCACCCTTGGACGTCCCACTCGCCGCTTCCCTTTCGGGTTCCACTCGAGCACTGGCCTGACGCGTGGTGTCACCCAACGGCCTCCTCAGCGAGTGTCCGATGCATCTCCAATTTCTCCTGCCTCGCCTGGATTACCAGCTCGCTAGTTTTCTAGCCGGTCCAAAGCCCGGATAAAGACGGGGGTTGGGGCGTGGTGCTAGCAGCTCTAACCCTCAAAACTTAACCAAATTGCTACAGAAACTTCAACGCATATCTACATGCTAGACATTTATTACTCCGATGAATTCAGTAGAGAGATTAACAGTACTTAGCATAAGGAACTAAATCTGAATTTCGGATACTAATATCCAGTCAGTCACTGCTTCTATATGATTCAGAAGTGGCGAGTCTTTTCAGGAGAAAGCATTTCTAAAAAGCCACTAAAGACTTCCGTTACACAGACGTGTTTACTGGATATTGAAGATTAGTTAGCCAGAGAGTAACTCTGACAAAAAACCAACAGAAAACCCATTTTTACCCAAAACGTATGCAGAAAGAAATGGAGACAAATTGGAGGACCTAAGCTGAGAGGACCATAGAGCGACATCACATTCTGAGCTCTCAGGTGAAATCCCAGCTGGAAGTAACAAGTTAGACGTCCGAGTGTGACATAGAGAAGATGATGTGAGGAGGGTAATCAGCAGCCAGCTTAACTAGACGATATGGAACAGTGTGAAATGGGAATGGAAATGCAGCTGAAGCTCTTTGTTCACCTCAGAATTCAAGGTATGAATAATAAAATGCCTAAGAGGTAAAATCACAATGCAATAAATACACTGGTATCACTGTCAGCGTACAGCATGACTTAAACAGTATTCAATGGCAGGAAAATCATCTATCCACCTAAGTTACAAATACTCTTCCGTTACTAATTGTCATCCAAAAATAGTAGTTCAGTCAGTAAACATGCTTTTTCAATTATACACTTGTTTCTTACAAATAAATTTGTTTTATTAATTTCATTTAAAAGTAAAAAAAAGAATTAGAAGCAAGAAGTGGAGTAAAATAACCGAAATTACTTTTTACCGCACAAATAGCAGAGATAAATATAGAAAAGAAATAAATTATAACTGTAAATTGAGGAAAAAAACATTTAAAAAAACACAAAAAACCTTTTAACGGTCAATTTTCAATGACTCCTCTTGTACTCTAAGCCTATCAATTGTAGATATCTGGATAGTTTAAATATAAAGGCAAGGGGGTATTCAGTTAATCCTTGTACAGTGTAAAAGTGGCACAACATTGATAGATATATAATAATAATAATAAGGACAGTAATAATAACAATGATAGCAACAATAACAGCAACATAATGTATGATGTAATTAAAAAAAAAACAATTCATGTT